CCCTAATTTTAACTTCCAACTACTAAATGCACTATTTTGGATTATCTTCGGGTTTTTTATAATGTCGTTACACAAACCAGCTTTTACCATTTTAAGGAAATTCAAAAAAAATTAAAAATAATAATTTAATTATCTTAACAACTTTATTAATAAACTAATTTACTTCATAAAATTATAATTAATTCACCACTACAAACTATCAATATCAATCATTCCAATAAAAAGGATAAATAAAGTTTAAGGTTTTTTTTAAATATGCTAAAAAATAAATATCTTTTATTTTGTAATAATATATCTTCCAAGTCAACCTCCTGAGTTCATTTTTGTCCCATCAAAACCCCCGTTTGAAAATAATGAAGTACTAATTTGACTTTAACAATTGATAAGTATATATATAAAAACAATAAATTTGTTAATAAAAATATAGTTACTAATTAACTAATAGTTAATTATTACATCTTATCCAATGATCCTTAAATTGTCCTGAGTCGACTCCAGAGTCAATCGACCCTCTGACCACGCGTAGTCGAGCTCCAGTCCGAGCATAACAACAACGTCTGTTACTCTCTAAGCTAAGGATAAAATCACCAACAATAAATGCGGAGGTGTTTGTTTGATGGGATTCGGATTGGGGATTCGGATTCGGATTTAGTCTAATTGTTTGGTTAGTTAGATTCGGATTCAAGGAATTGGATTTGGAATGTGTTTTTGAATCCCACCTCCCCCCTATGGATTCGCCGGATTCGAAATCGAATCCTTTTAAAATTATTTTTCTTTTTTCATCTTTTTTTTTCTCTTTCTTCTTCCTCGTTGAAGTTCACTCTCCTGCCTCTCCTCTTCTATTTTCACTCCTCCTCCTTCTCTTCCTGTATGCAGTATGAAATCATTATTCTTTTTTCCTTTTCTTCTATTTATGAAATCGTCTAAAAATTCATTTAATTTTTTCATTGTTTCCAGTCTTTATTTTTTAGGCTTTACTCTATAAATGATTTTCACTAATGAAATGATGTAAACACAGATCTAGATGTTTAGCCGGAATTGGGGTACAAACGATGATGGTGGTGATTGTTAATAGATGGTGGGTATGGTGGTAGTGCTGGCTTATGTTGGCAACAATGGGGAGGATTGAATTAAACTAGATCTAGGTGTACAGCGGGTTTATGGGTGTAAATGATGACGATGATGATTGCTAGTAGATCAGGATGGAGAGGTGGTAGTGGTAGTAGGTGTTGGCGGCGGCGGAGGAAAGGGAATACTGGAGCAGAAGCGAGGAGAGGAGAAAGGGGGAAGGAGAAGGTGAAAAAATAATTTTCTTTTATTTTTTATAATTATTTAAATAGAAGTAGAAATGAAATTTAATTTTATTCATATTCCTAACCAAACGGGATTATTGGATTCATGAATCCACGATCATTCGAATCCAATCCTCCATCATTCAAATCCGTTTCCAAATCCGTTTCCTGTTGACAAAACAAACGCCTCCTTAAATATATACATTTTTATGTTGAAGGGTTCCAGATAGTATGGGACTCGATTTATTTTTGTAGTCACCCGTTAAAGCTGTACATAGTCGGCCAAAAGCAGACCGCTTTTTATAGTTTGGCCGGTTTCTAGACATAATAAAGCGTCCATCCGGTTTGTGAATTTTCAAACTTTAGGTTTTGGCCCAGTTTGTGGCTTGTCAAAACCGCATCGGACAGTGTATATATTTATAAAACTTAGCTAGTTATACCGGATGTGTCATGCATCTTGGGAGGAGCCTACCTCAAAAATGAGCTTGTAAGGGGAAAGAATCCAAGAACATATAAACCACACACCAGTGTCATGCAACACTAATGTGAGGTTCAAGCAACTATCATTACATACTATCACGCTTCTGTTCTAACGTCTCGGTAACTGCACTCTTGACAATTTCACTCCGGCACATGTAGCCCTTTCCGTGGAGGTTTCACTCTGCAGGTAGCCCTTCTTCTAGATAACTCTTTCTGCGGACCAGCACGAAGGGTAGGGACCAGCTCTGATACCATTTGTCATGCTTTTGGGGAACCTACATCAAAAGTTAGCTTGTAAGGGAGAAGAACCTAAAGACATATAAATCGCGCACCAGTATCATACGACACCAATGTGAGATTCAAGCAACTATTATTACAGGATGAGTGATTGTGGCCCGAATAGATCATGACTGCGCGCAATTAGGTAGTGTGGTCAAGATCGAAGCCCCGAACTTAGAGTTGGCATCTTTTTAAAAAACTCTCTTTGAAATAAAATAAAATAAATTCAAGTATAAAAACAAAGAAAATGCACAACACTAGTACTTTTACTTCTCTGCTCCTCTTCATTTTGACAAAGTGAGGGACTCTCTCTTGTGTAGCCAATACCTCTAGTTTTCTTTGAAAGAAAACCAACCACTATTCTTCGTGGTACTTGGTACTTGATTCATTTTGTTCCGAGCACATGAAATCTGGGCATTGATGGAAAGGGGTCGGCATGGATGGGCAAATCCGGATGTGAGCCTAATTATGAAACCTGCAATCGGTTTTTGCAACCGTGGCCGTTCTCTTTCTTCTTTTCCCTTATTCTGCTACAGATGTGAGCCTAATTATGTTAAAAAAAAAAAAAGAAAAAGCAGGAAAGGTGGTAATTTTTGTTTTGATCTAATTGTTAAAAATTGATTTCGATTATTACCAAATTGTGTGGTCGGTTCCAAAGGTGTATAATAATAATTATTGTTATTATATTTTTTTGGATAAATTTTATGTATTCTTCAATAGTTAGTGATTATTCGACTCGTTGAACTGTAATCTCAAGATTCAATAGTTAGAGATTGAATAATTGTTTGTAGAGTAGTATTTTTGTCTGGTCGGGAGTTTTGAATGGATGTAAATGTAATACGGCACAAAACCGTAATTTGGATCACACCAAACCGTAAAATTACAACCTGGCCGGGTTGGTTATATTGTAACATCCGGCCGATCCGGTTTGTAAACTTTTGAAACCGGTTTGGCCAGTATTTAAGCCTCAAAAGTCAAAACTGGCCACACTATCAGCAGTAAGTCCAGAATTACAAGCACTGTGATGAAAAAGTTTAGTGGGTAATTCGAGTTTACAAAGGGAATGGACATCAAGCGTAGATGTAAGCTCAGAGGGCAAAGTGCTCATGAGTGTGTTTATGTTGGCTAGATGGGGTTATATATATGATGAGTTGGGAAAGCAATGAAGTGTTCCTAGAAAGCTAGCAAAAACCTACTCCTCCAGGGGGGTCCCACCCAGCCAGTGGTATTTTCTTTTGTTACCTGTAGCCCTATACTGACACTAACACTTGCAAACCCAGGTGAGTCAGTAACACCAAAATGGAAATTTTGCTGCTTTATAGGCTGCAGGGAGATCGCGTGTTATCTCATGGGAATTGAGAATAATATATACTCCATCTTTTTCCCTTTGACTAATTAATATTGATATGTCCATTTCCACGAAAACTTAAAAAATTTAAAATGTTGATGTTTGGAGTCAAATTTGATATATATATATATATGTCGTTTGTCGTTGTGGACTTGTTTGAATTTCTTACTTACTTTATAAATAATTGGTAACGCTAGCAACACAGTGACTACGTTTTATTTTTATGAAGTGCCATCACGGTTTACCTTTAAGTATGTCCTAAACATTATATAGCTTTTTATGTTAACGCTTGTATAGGTTTGACTCTCAACAAAATCCCTGAGAAGGTCAACGAGTAAAACACCAGCACTCCATTTTGTCTCGATTGTTATCTGAACCGAAGCAAAAAAGAAGAAAAAAAAAAAACATGACTTCAGTCTCAAATTCTGAATCCACAGTGTGTTTTTCAGAACATACAAGGCAAAGGTGATCACTCCCGTGAGACTGTCCCCCCTGAAAAGAAAACAAAGAAAAAGTTTGAACGATTTGTGGGCAAAGTCTGGTCAATTTAATATCTAAACCTCAGACCAAGATATCGCTATTTTCGTGAAATGGTTACAACTCTCGATACATTAATTAAAAAAGTAAAAGTAAGTCGCCAATATCATGTCAGTAACGTTATGAATATATTACAAGAATACTTATACGGACAATGCGATATCGTTTCATGAGTCCATTGTTGATAACTATGACATATCCTATTCACTAACATTTTAATGAATGAGATAAATGTGACAAAAAAAAGTTTAAGATTACGTGATGAGTTTCAAACTTCCTATATGAGATTTAAGTATGGTTGAGTTATTATTAGTCAATTACAATTCTTAAAGTTGACAGTGTAAGAAGAATTGAATTGAATGCTACAAAATGCATGGCCATGTAATTATCAATAATATTGCAGCACACTTCCTACACTTGATTAATATGACATCCTTTATTTAAAGTTGGAAATAGGGAGGTAGTAAAAGGTTCAATCCTGCCACCTTTCTTGTAGATAGACAGAACCAAATACGGAAAAGGAAGAAAAAGACCAAAAAAAAAAAAAAAAACCGAATGCAGAGCCAAAAAAACTCCATATATTTATATTTTTTTTTTATACTTTAGTAGTTTGCTTCTGTTTTTCAAGCTTTAAATGCATTACAACAAAGTGGGCTATGGTTTTGAAACTAGGATGGAGAACAGACAATAGGACACCTCTACCACCCCATATGACCATCCTATTTCTTCTACCAAAACAAAGATTCCTTACCGGGTTGTTGAGTTTTCTTCACTTTTCCGTTGCTTACTATAAGGTAGGGTTTTGAGCATTTACCAAATGAAGTCTATTTTTTGCAGTTTCTTATTGGTTTTTTCTTTGGCTTGTTTAATGAAGAATATGAAATGGGTTGTTGAACATTTGATATGATAAGTAAACAATTTTCTGAAAGGGGGAAAGACTGCATTTTTTGGGACCAAAAAGGTTCAATCTTTCCTTGCAAAAAGGGTCCTAATTTTTATGTTCACCTCATTTTGTACGTTCTAACCTTTGATGAAATGCATTAGGTGAAAGAGGAGAGCATAGAATGGACTCCGTTCCAGATGAGTCCACCATCATCAAGGAGACAAATGAGTTACTTGGTATAATGGGTACGAGTGAATCGCTCGGTAGTGTTCCCACGCAGGAGCAGCCCCTGATGTCCGCTCCGGCAATGACTTCTGGTAGGCTTTTTGTTAAAGGTTTTTTTTTGTCAGGGCCGCTCTGTTGGGTTCAAAATAAATGTGTGTTTGCGTTAGGTTTACTTTGTTCTCTAGCTATACACGATATTAGAAACCTGGATCTGTTTGATTCTGTTACTATGGAAGTATATATCTTAAAATTTTTTCTTTTTTTTTTTGGGGTTGAAAAGTATCTTAAACTTTCAGTTCTGATATTGGTTATTTCACTTGCCTGCAGGCACCCATCTTCAACCGGACTCTCAGCTTCAACCGATTACTGGCCAAGAACAACAAGTTACGGTTTTTTTTTTTTTTTAAATAGATAAACCCAACTGGGATTGTTTTTTGCCAGTTTAATTTGACTACCGCCAATATCGTTCTTTGATGTTTTAAGCCTGATCTGCACCCGGAAAAAGAAGGAACCACGACGGTGTCGATTCGGTATAGAGATGGAATTTTGCTAGCGGCGGATTCAAGGGGCCAAAGACGCGGTGTAACAGGTTAGTTGTGTTTCTTTTTTTTGGAAAGAGGCGGTGTACTACTAACTGGGAGTATTTGTTTTTGTTTGTATTTTTAGACCTATTTTGTGCGGTTAGTAAATTTTCTGAATGCTACTAACTCTTTCCTTTTAATGATGTAGTTACGAATAGACTGGAGAAAATACACGAAATTGAGCCTATGCGCATGTATGCAACTGTATCCGGATCCGTAGAGAGATGCATGATCTGGATCGATAAATTGAAAGAACTGGTAATATTCCGGTTTCCGCTTCCGTAATACTTGTTTTTAGTTTTAACTATTGGGGGTAATTAATTAGGTTCATATTCAAATACCTCCCTGATGTTTGCTTCAATATTCAAAACATCTGTATTCTTTGAATAAATAACAAGTGCACCTTTGTCCAGTAAAACTTGGAAGTCAAATATTTAAATAGTAAAATATTATAAAATATAAAAAAATAAAATTAAAAATAATAGTTGAAAGACGAACATACCCTCGGGGACACACTCCACCATCTCTTTCGTTTGCCACGTTGATTGGTAATTTTCAATTTCTTCTCATCGCGCAGTGGGACAGTCGAGACGGAGAGATTCATATCTCTCCGGATGAGGCCACTATTTGGCTTGCTTATCGGATGCGTCAGGTAGGTTTGCCATCTGAGGGTCGTCTTGCAGGGAGGATCGCCCGACTGATAGTCTGTGGTTATGAAGAGCCAGGTGATAATATTGATGTTCCCCCGGTGAGTTCTATACTTTCCTTCTTTCTTTCTTGGGTTCGGATTTGCTCTCCTTGGTCCCTTCTTATCGATTTTTGTATAAGTATTATTCGGTTCGGATTTGCTCTTCTTTGTCCCTTTTTATCGATTTCTGTATGAGTATTATTTGGTTCGGGTTTGCTCTCCTTTGTCCCTTCTAAACGATTCTTGTATAAGTATTATTTAAATTCCATATCCAGTGTTTTAGGTCCATTAATAAAGGTTTTTGTTTGATTTCAATTTTCTACCTTTGTTATACCCTTTCATGAGATTCTGGGACCTTTCCTGAATTACTAGTAATTATCATAAAGTTTTACAATTATTTAATAATCTTGTTTTTGTGAAGGTATTTTCTATGTGTTGGGTGGATCATAATGGAGAAATGGGCACCGCGGATGACTTTTTAACATCGGGATCGGGCAAAGATCATGCATCAAGGGTTCTCACGAGAGAGTATGCTATTACCACTGATATCATGCGATTACTTAGTTTGATTTAATTTTTCATTACAATTCTGATTATTCTTTTGTCATTTTTCTTTAGGTGGCGTGAGGGGATGACTAGAGAAGAGGTTGCTCGATTGGCTAGCAAATCTATTTGCTTCGCCTCGAATGTTAACAATCACACTGGAGGTTCAGTCCATTGTAAGTTTATTCTTAACTTTGGTTTTTTTTTTTTTTTTTTTCCTTTCTTTCTTACAAGATTTTTTAGGAGATTTGTCAAGCTTAGAGGGATTATGCCCCAGAATTTAGAAAAAGAATCAGGAATTAGGATTTGAATATGAGATGTAGGAAAGAATTTGGGGCAAAAAATTGAGAAGATGATAATTAAAAAGGAGAAAACAAGGACAAAGGAATTTGGAGATGAGATTTCAATTAATCACAATGCCTAATCATCTTCCCGTTAATCCCATTAATCCGATTACGTATAGTACTCCCATCGGTAAAAATTCTCTTCTTGTCCTATTAACTCTACTTACAAAATAAATAAAAAAAAGATAAATAGAAATTGCATCTAGCTGCGTGAGTTGTAGAAGCTTATAGTCATAACCTGGTTTTATTCCTAATTAGGGAGCCCAACTCGTTACAACACTCTCTCCTTGAAATGAAGCTTGTCCCAAGCTTCAGGAAGTTGATGAACTTTTATCAAGCAAGGAGCTTCTTCCTTCTTCTGCCTTTTCCAAGGGAGTGACAATTGCAGTATATTTTGTCAGTTCCTAGTGATAACTCCTTGATGGTTAGTGTCCAATGGATCCATCAGTGGAGTAGAATTGGCTTCATTATTCCCTTGATACTTCTTCCATTGCACCCGTGCCCATGGATCGCTATCATTTGGAGAAAAGCACAGCTTTCTCTTTTTGACATTTAAGTAATTTCTCAGTTTCAAGCTATTCGTTTCTAGATTTGGACATAATCTTTCTCCATACAAAGTCAACTTTTTGCCTGCTCTACTCAATTGTATGTTCTTTACATCATAATCGAAGGTAATCGGACTAAATTGAGACTACCAATCTTCTCCTAAAATCATGTCCCAACCATCTAATCTCATAACTTTCAGATCAAAATTAAAGTCGTATTGGTGCACATTCCAGATCACGTCAGTTCATATCAATGTAGCCAGAGTCCTGCTACTATCAGCCATAATAACCATGAAAGGATCAGTGCTTCTATAAGGCAATGAAAGATGATCCACAACATTACAATCAACGAAGCTGTCACCACCTTTATCAATCAAGATCTTTAACCACTGTCCTTTAATCTTTCCCCATACTAAGGACTTCTTTACAAAGCCAACAGCATTTGAAAAAATTTGCTTAGCCCCGTCATCAGTAATGAAATAAATGGCATTTAACTCCAAGTTTTCTAATTCTCCCTTTTCAGCAACAATAAAGTGAACAGAGTCCAAACTACAAACATGACCTGGACCAAAGTTTTCGCCACACGTGTAGTAGAAATTATGAATTTTTTCGATATTGCAACTCCTACGGTGTGATATTTTTAAAGATGATAGTAGGAGACTTTCTTTTTTCAATCCCAGTTAGAATTAACAGGATTAGGAGGCTTACCCAAAGTAGAGACGGATTTGGAGTTCTTATGCTGCAATTCCAAGGTCATTTCTTGAAGTATTGAAATGTCCATTGCAGAAGATAATTCTCTGGGTGTCCTCATCCTGATTGTTGGTTTAATTTCTTCCTTGAGGTATTGCTCTGACAATCTGGGGTCTTTCTTTGGGATTTCTGCTTTTAATTCTTCAAAGCGTTCAACTGTTAACACCATTGCCTTTTGTTGTGGTTTATTGAACTCCTCAAATTTATCCCTCCCACCTTTAATTTCGAACCTTTTTATCACCGCTTGACTAAACTCTTCCCAATTCAGTCTTCCTCTCACTGCTTTAACCCCTTCACCAAGTTTCTGCTTTGCCACTTAGGTTCATTTCAGCAGTATCCACCTTCATGTTCTCAGGAGCTTGGTACAGATTGAAGTATATGTTACACTTCCTCAGCCATTACTGCAGGTTTTCAGTTGCAAGTTTGCTCAACTCATCCCTGTGTTGATGGTTGTGTCCCCTTCCGTTATCTCTTGCAATCAATGGAGCGTCATTTTCCACCAAAACCTTCGGCGGAACATTAGGAGTTGGTGAGAGAGGCGCATTCACCGCAGACGGAATAGAGCTTTCTCCTTCGTAAACTTGCTTCTCTTTTAGCATGGATTGTACATCCTGCATCATTCTTGTTAAATTAGCTCACTGACCCTTTAAATCATCGAGTTCAGTTTTCAATTCCCTTTTCCATCGACTTTCCTTTCCAACTCTGTAGTTCTAGCATCCAATTTCTTCATATAATCATCACCAGAAGTCTTTGATCTAGTGTTGTCTGCCATTTCTGTCCGAGAATCTTTAACTCTAAATACCAAATGTTTAGAGGGATTAGGAACCAGAATTTTAAAAAATCATAAATGAGGGATTCAAAGATGAGAGTTAGGGAAGAATTTGGGGCAGAAAATTGAGAAAATGATAAGAACGGAGAAAACAAGGGCAAAGAAATTTGGAGATGAGATTACAATTCATCTAACGCCTAATCATCTTCCCGTTAATCCGATTACATATAGTACTTCCATCAGTAAAGGTTCTCGTCATTCTTATCCTATTTATTGTACTTGCAAAATAAAAGTAAAATAATTTAGATAAATTGAAATTGCATCCAGCTGTGTAAGTTGTAGAAACTTTTAGCATAACCCGGCCTTTTTCCTAATTATGGAGCCCCAACTCGTGACACGATCTTCCATACTTGTGTCAGGTCCTTGAGGATTTAATCCAAAATAATTTTCAAAAAATTTAGAAAAGAGGTTGAAGGGAGAGAAATAAGAGGGGAGGGGGCAGAATTCAGAATTATAGAAGGGAGATGAGAGTTAATGGAGAAAAAATTGAACTGGGGGAGAAATTTAGTTTCAGGTTTCATTCATAATTTCATTCCTGATTATTACAAATGCATCTACCACTTAACTAGGAACATTATTACAAAATTGCAACTTAAATCTACAAACTATCTGGAAATTCTAATCGACCCCTAAAGCTATGACAATTTGTTACCAAATCCCAACAGAATATCAATCCTTTTAGTCACCGTTATTCTGTTGTCACCTTATGTCTTCAGTCCTAACCACAATATATTTTAAATTTGATGTTTTTGAACCATAAAAATACTTGATTCGTGAATTATTTTTTTGAACTACTCTAACTAACCAAACTTAGAATCTCATATGTTATCTTCTTGGATTTTGCAATCTGCTAAATCATATTGTTTTCGTGTTTTCAGATCGCACATTCACCACGGAGTATTTCCGAGTTGAAGGGGATGGTGTAGAACATGAAGAAGTTCGACGAGAATTTGCTCCTAGGAACATTAGGTCAATGTTAGAGAATGAGTATCGAGACATTCTTCTTGAGTATCCTATCTGATGAGCAGAAGGTTAGGTCTTGTTTGGACCTCCACTCATTTTGGAGTTAAAATTGGATACTCAAGATTGGAGTTGAGACTAAGAAAACAAGATTAGAAGATATTTATAATATTAAATAATCTCTTTTGTTGATGTGAAATTAATTTCTTTTGTTTAAAGTAATGAATTATTGATGGGGAATTATAAGCTTGGCTCTAAACTCCCGCCATGGAAAAGACTACATATTTATGATCACATTGTTTGCAGAAATATTTCGTGTAGCAAAAAGATTCACATTTGATGAGATTGCAATTTTAAGCTTTTACTATGAAAATGATGTCTCTTGTGCATCTTATTTTCCGTCATAATATTCTCTGTAAAACTATTCTCTGTAAAACTATGTAGAAAGAAGTGCATGAATGAAATCCTCTTTTGTTTGCATTTTGTAAAATGAGCAAGGTCGTGCATGGAAGGGAGACAACTCTGGAAATGCGATATGGTTGGCAACTTGGCATGAAACTGGTGAGATGTGAATTAACGCCTCGCACTTTTTGACTTGATAAGTAAATAAGGTAACCAAAAGGGCGCATAAGAAATTCTTATGCGAAATCTTTGTATACTTGAAGTTAATGTAGCCTTTTGTGAATTAATACATAATCTTGCGGAGTTTAGAATTAGATGCCATAATCCCTAGACCCTTTGGATTATGGAACGTCACGACTGTGTCCATAAAGACTCTACTGCCAAAATGCGTAAGGTGACACAAGATGAGTGATAAGTTCTGAAATAATCACGACACTGGTATTTTGACATTCCGAACAAGAAAACAATGTAATCACCATTTAACGCTAAAAGCAACAAGCGCATGCTGGTGCTCAACAAGTGCAGCTCCACGAGATTCTCATACTTAATCTTTACAGTTGAATTTCCTTTCTTCAAAACTCCAAACATGATTCTCCGGCAAAACCAAGTCAATTTTAAGCACATAGATAACATATAGTTGTTGTAACATCAGGCTTTTGCTTAGTGGCTCTCGATAGAACTGCATTTATACAGTTGCTTCAACTTCTTCTCAGTCATTGACTTCAGCAAAATTATGTATTGCAAGTCCCGCCATTGACACGAGGAAGTTTGAGGATCTTGATATAACTGCATTTACACATAGTTGCTTCTACTTCTCAGTCATCGACTTCAGCAAAATTATGTATGTTAAATCTCGCCATTGACACGTAGAAGTTTGAGGATCATCATCTTGTCTACTTTTTCTCTTGCAACCTGTCGAATTTATTGTACTAATAAAATTTTTCGTAGAATTTGATAGCAGTAAAGTTGACTATAGCATAGGAAATATGAATGACTGGCAGCTTAAATACTTTGCCCTGCACTTACTGGCTAAGAATTAAGCCCAGTATGATTGCAGGAGACTCTATGGTCAATAAGGCTTCCTACTTCTCCATAATTGTAAAACAACATCATCCGTCCTCCCACTAAAACAAAGCAGTTCTTTATGTATGTTTGTTTTGTTTTTTTAGTGTGTACTTTTAGGTATTTTTTGTATTGGGAATATAAAAAAGTGTATTGAAAATGTAAAAAAGTATGCTGGGATTGAACAGATATTATTATATTATTCTGAAAAAAACACGAAAAAAGGAAACGAACAGAGCGTAGTGCTCTTATTTAAGTAGAACCCACTCCAAGCTCTTTCAAGTGCAAAAATGTGGGAAATGAACTGTGAGAGTATAGCATATGGCAAATTGATGCAGATGGTATCGTTTATTCTGTTTCATAAATAGGCAGCTCTTCGTGATTCTCACTTTATGAACAGCATAAGATACTTTGGGACCATTAGCAGAAAGTCTAGAACTTCAACTCATTGAATCATGCGGCATTTAAACAACCATTTTCTATTCCATACGAGAAAATTGTGGCTTAATATTACCTCAGCTCCAATGCGCTACCTAGCAGATAAGGAACCCAGTAATTTCTCATACCAGTAAGTAGCAATTACTCATCGCTTTACATAAGAAGAAGATTTGGCAGACAGAGCTTTCTTGATTTTTGCCAAAAACCCAATTCCCTCTGATCAGTGAATGTATCTACCTTGGAAGGAATTTGTCCATTTCATTTAGTGTAAAATACCTGCAACAATATCTACATATATATAAGGGCGAGTTGACCGGATATCCGCCTGTTTAGATATGGCGGTCGGTTGAAATTCTTTCATGTGTCATTCAGTTATTGGAGACAGGATTGTCTCTGGGCCCTTCAACCACTCCTCCCGGTTTGTCTTCTCCTTCTTTCGCTACTCCCGCAGTCTTCTATTCTGCTCCTACTCCTCCCAATATTTTTCCCTCAACGGCTGCCAGATCTGACTGTCTGTGTTCATATGCACAAATCGATTAACGAATTGATCAATCAAAAGACAGAAGAATCACCATTAAAATCGACCATCTTGTTCCTTTCCCAGTTCCCATCGCCATACTGGTTCTTTCATCTTCCTTCCATCTTTCTTCCAAATTATCGAGAAATAGTTTTAATCGGTGGAAGGAAAGATATTAGCCAATTCGAAAGTCAGGTTAGATTTTATTTCTCTGATTCTTTGCTAATAAAAGAATTTATTTTTTTTTTGCCAATTTGATGCGATTGAAGGCCATGGGTAGACTGGGTAGTTTAGGTTCAGTGTGTGAGCTATAATAGAAAGAATTTTGTTACACTGTCCTGCTGTTTGTGGAGTTTCATGATTTTCTTTCACATTCTTGGTCTGCCAACTGCTCTTGGAGTTGCTTTCATGAAATTTTGTATGTATTGTCGTGATTTTATGGAACAGAGTCAGGTGGGTTTACTCAAATTAGTTTTGGGATAAATTTTATGTCTAAAATTTGAACTGTTTTTTTTTTCCAGAATTTATCAATTACATGTAGGATCATGCCTTGCTTTTGATATGTTATATATTTGTGATTTGTTAGAGTGTACGTTGAAAGCTCTATCTCCTATATATTGCTGATATCTGTCTTTTGAATCAAGAGACAATTTGGATTTCTCAAAATTTATTACCCTTCAAATCTACTGTCTTTGGTTGATTCATACTAAGCAAAATGTTGTTAAATTAGTGGGTCGATGACCAAACCATTGAATTGATCAGAGCTTATAAACTTTAAGAAGAGGAGTAGTATGGATTTCTTAGTGGTTGGCCATTTTCGTTTAATTGAATTTGAAATTTGGTTTGTGGTGTGCACAATTACTGTTCAAATCTTTTTCTTAAAGAATGTAGCTCACTCATTCAATAAACCAATCTAGAAACAACAATTTTCTGAATTTCAGTTTATGGATTTTGTTTTGGAAGTTAAAGAAAAAAAGCATAAACAATAATTGGTAGGTTTTCATCTGCTAGAGATCCTTATATGTGCAATGCCTAGAACCTTATAGACGCTAATTAAATGGAATTAAAGATGTACGTAAAAAATATGCATGGGCTTTTGTAGTAGCTTTAGAGAGAGATGATTCTGGATATTTGATTCTTTCTCAGGTTACGTTCTTTTGAAAACTTATAGCATAACTTGGCATCAGTTTCCAACCACTAATTTTAAGATTAGTCGTACTCCTATGAATACCTATGTTGTTTCGATGTCTATGGCTTTTGTGCTTCTGTGCTTGCATCTCAGTTGAGAGGGCCTTCTGTGCTTGCATAAGGTATTTGTACAACTGTCATCTTTACATTATTACCCTGTAAGCCCCTTTTTAATGTCTTGCATACCCATTTACTCGGTTATGGTTTAAACTATCTCAGTTTTGTCTTGCAAGAAAAAGTCACTGAGAAAATAGAAGTGATGCAATTTTCTCTGAGAAGGATAACAGTTGAGAGGAGTTTCTTGAGTTTGAGACAGATGGACCTCTTTCTTCATTGAGCAAAACAAGCCATATACGGACTGAACGAAGCTGCCACGGTGGTGACGACTTAGAATGAGAGCGTGATAGCATTATTAAGCATAATGGATGATTTAGGATGACAAAATTGTCTCACCTCACAGTTTTCCTAAGGTAATTCTAAGTGGTTAGGGAGTTTACATGATTAAGAGATATGCACAAATTATTACTTTTTCATTTGTTGCTGCTACTTAAACTTACATCCTAGGTGTACATAGTTTCATTTCACATTCCCATTTTGTGTAGGATTTGGGTCAAGACAGTAAGGTATTAGTTTCATAAACTAATCAAAATAGGATTAAGAAAGTTAATAGAGGTTTAATATAAAATATGTATCTGCTAAAGCAACGCCAGAAACAAAAATAAATTTACCAAGTAATACTAGCAAAACTTTGAAATATATTTCAGAAATTATTGTTTATAAAGCAAAACAATTAAACTGATAATGATATGTACGATCAAAATCTGGGCTATCATTCCCCCATTTGCCGCAGAAGTTGTGGCCACCCAGCCTAGTATAACTTGAAGACGGACTTATTGTAGTATTTTTAGTTTATGCTAATCACTCACCGAAATGACTTAGCAGCTGGAGACAGGAGTCCGCACCAAGGAGTCCGCATCAAGATGAGACTCTCCTGTTTCAAACAAGGATATAAAGTTGGAGTGGACGTCAACAATTGATAATCAGGATGTTTAAAGGAAAATGCATATCCAACGAATACACAAAGAGTCCCTGAAAATCAAACTAACCTTTGCAAGATAAAGGTTCCAGTAGTCACTATCCTTTTCATTGGTCCTTTCCAATACCTTATTTTGAGCTTCTTCCCTTATCTAAAGCCTTCAAAAGTTTTTTTTGCCTACCCATTATATGAATACTCAGACCAGAAGCAGCATTGGCTCCCTCCCAAAATTAATGCATCAGCACCATCTGCTGTTTTAGATTTGAGTTTCAGGATTCCCTCCGTCGGCCACCTGGATAGAGTCATCAAGATCATATCAAACAATTTTCACATGAACAGTACCAAAATACACTATATGCGATTAATCATAACCTCAAAACTTCCATACTCGGTAACAGGATGAGGAACTGGAAAGAAA